CCCCAAAACCCCAAAACCCCAAAACCCCAAAACCCCGTGAATTCAATAAATTGGAGCATCAAGATAATGAACTTTAATTGATAGTCTGGATTATAAGAAGAATAATGATTATACAATAAATTAATTCCATTATTAAACAGCATATCTTGATACTTAATTCTCTAAAAGATGTAAATGCTTTCTAGCTCTCTGAACTATATAAGATCCTTCGATATATATGGACACCAGGTCAAAATACTCTACAAGGGTGAAGACACCAAGAAGACATTGGTAGGATCAATCCTGAGTATTGTTTCGATTGGATTAATGGCTTGGTATTTCGTTACATAGCTTCAAGATATTATTGAGAACAAATCATCTGTAAAGTAAACACAGAATCCTATTGAACCAGCTAAAGCTCTCATTAATATTACATCGTCAAACTTTGATGCAGCATTTATGTTTTACAACTCGAAATAGAATTACGACTATGTTGAAATGTAGCAATATATGCAAATCAACACCTACTTTAAAAGAGATGGGTTCTACTATGATGAATACAATGAAGAGATTAGAGCAATGAATGAAATTGTAACTACACCTTTTGAAAAATGTGATAAAGATAGAATGTTCAACTCCACAGTGTTTTAAAACTACATGCAATATAGAAATGACGGAATCTTCTACTGTTACAATAAAGATCTTAACCAAAAGCTAGAGGGCAGTGATAACACTCTAAGATTTGAAATTACAAAATGCGAATAAAAGACATTAAGCAAAGATTATCCATAACTATAATGCGTCACTGATCAAAATGAGTTATAGTAGTTTTTTGAGAATCTTTAAGTCCTAGTATTTTCAAGCCAGCAGTACTTTGATGTTGATGAATTTGAAGCAGATCCCATAAAGTTTATGATAGATGTTGAGAAAGCTACAATCTCTCCAAAGGGAAGAACTAGTTTAACTTATGATATGCTACTTAATAAAGTTTCAGGCTCTGATAACAAACTTCATGAAAATCTCAACCAATTCGAAAAATCATTCATTAGTACTAAAATTAGAGGAACCAAGACTAGTGATATTCAAAAAGATGACGATAGTTATGAAGTACTATTTGACGTTATATTCAAAGTGCAGAATGAATTGAGAACTATAGAAAGATAAGCAAACAACTTTGTGCAAGCTCTCTCTAACGTTGGTGGTCTCTCAGGCATTATATTTGGACTTATTGCAATCCTTATCGCTCCACTCTAAGAGTTCTTTTTCTACCAGTCCTTGCTCAAGAGCTCATTTTTAGTAGAGTAGAGCAAAATCAAAAAAGAGGAAGATAAGTTAGAGACTGATGATTCTTAAAACAGTGACAAAGTTCAGATTAAAGAGTAGATAAAGAAGAAAGATTTCAACACATATTTGAGGTTGATTGTTAAGCTAAAGGACAGGGTTAAATTCTATTATCCTTTAGGGCTTGCTATCAAACAGTGGTTTCAACAGATTTTCAGATGCTGCTGTAAGAGAAGAAGATATTAGAAAGAATTGTATGAGCTTGGTAAAGATGTGATTGAGAAACAATTAGATGTTCAAACTATAATCCAGGACCTGAGATCATTTAAGATGATAAACAATGTCTTGCTCTCAAAGTTCCAGAGATAACTTATTCCCTACTTCAAAAGATACTTGCTAACATAAAAACTTGAGAGAGTTTAAATTAAGGAAGCAATCAAAGAAATAAAAGATAAAAAGCCTTAAGATGATTAAAAAGCAGATCAAGTAACCTAGCTAATGATTGAATTATTCGGAAATTCTAAGAATCCCTAATCTGTCTACAATGACCTTGTCATTGATAGAGTCTTCTTAGACAAAGAAGATAATCTCAAAGACTTAAAAACATAGCTTTTTACAGGTATACTTAGAAAGTTCATAGGGCTTAACTTGGACAATAATTATGATGACTAAAGAGATATTTTTGGAATTTATGAGCCTCCTGCTCTTGGAATCGCTATTCATGATTAGGATAATCAAGAAAACCTTAATGCAACTGATGGTAACAATCAAACTGCTGGAAATCCTCTTGACAAAGATGATGGAACTAGAACTTAAGATAGAATGTAATGATTTTAAGAAAGATGATCATGAATATTCTAGATTAAGAAATTACCAATAATAAATTGAACCAAATTTTACCATTTATTTTTTAAATTGACTAATGGGGTTTTGGGGTTTTGGGGTTTTGGGG